ATAGTTTAATGGAGAGTGTTATAGGTAAACATTTTAGCTAAAAATTTAGTTAATTTTTATTTAAATATTTATTTGATATGAAAAATATTTATTAGATATAAGAAATAATTTAGTCTTTTCTTTCAGTGTAGTAGCTAATTTTTTATCCGTGCAAATTTATTATTGAATTAGGTAATGTCAAAAAAAATGCAACGTTTGCAATTAAAATTTTTACATAACAACAGTTTACCAAGAATATAAAAAGCGCAATTGCACTGAAAAAATTATTTGACTTAACAAAATCTGCGGTCGAATACGTACAAATAAATGTCAATGTGTAAATAAAAACTAAATATTTTGTTTTTAACAAAATATTTAGTTGTTATTACATTGATATTATAATGTAATAAGATTACATTGATATTACAATGTAATAAGATTACATTGATATATATTGATATTACAATGTAATAAGATTACATTGATATTACATTGATATTACAATGTAATAAGAACTAAATATTTTGTTAAAAACAAAAATGTTAAATTTGTTTTTAACAAAATATTTAATTCTTATTACATTGTAATATCAATGTAATATCAATGTAATCTTATTACATTGTAATATCAATGTAATATCAATGTAATCTTATTACATTGTAATATCAATATAATATCAATATAATATCAATATAATATCAATGTAATCTTATTACATTGTAATATCAATGTAATATCAATGTAATCTTATTACAATAAGAACTAAATATTTTGTTAAAAACAAAAATGTTAAAATTTGTTTTTAACAAAATATTTAGTTCTTATTACATTGTAATATCAATGTAATCTTTTATTACATTGATTTTTGTTAAAAACAAAATATTTAGTTCTCATTACATTGATATTTATTTGTCGTATTCGACCGCAGATTTTGTTAAGTCAAATAATTTTTTTTTCAGTGTGGGAATTACCTATCTAAGGATGACATAGTCGTCATTGATAGTTGTCATTGAATGACTCGTACAATATTTGGCAATATCGTTACAACTCGAATAGGCTTCAAGGTCGGGTTGCGCAAGGTGTGCAGCTGCAGTGTGCACGTACTTTTATACGCTATGCACTTTATTGCAATGTAAAAGCAGCGTGACGTTTATCAGATATCCATTTATCATAACGAATCGTGGCTCGGCCGTCGCCCGATAAATGAAACCGATAACGTTGTCCCGCGCACTTCTTCGACTACGTTTACGTTGTGGCAGTTATGAATGATCGGTGCGATTCAATCATTCTCGAGATTATTTATCCGCCCAGCCTTCCTCCGCGAAGGTACATACCTAATATATGTGTGTACGTATTACAGTTTGTTGGGGGACCCGATCGACCGTGTCGAGATATTCATTTGCTGTTTCAACTCTCCACTTATATATGTGTATGCATACGCGATCATTAAATCGGAAAAAATTATTGAAACTCATCTCATCTACGTGTTTGCTCTTACCTCTCTAAGGATGTAAATCAATGTACGAGAGAGAATGAGCCGCGTTGCAGCATCGTAAAATTTTCTCTTAGAATTTACCCTGAAATTTCATGATAATTTCGTGGGACAATATTGGCAGAATTTTATAAGAGTTTCTCTGATTAATATTTACTACAATAAAAAATTACATAGTAAATTTTACTACAATGTGAAAAAAATTATTAAATTAATAAATAAGTACATTTATCTGTTTTGAAAAAATTTTCTTATATAAATAAATATTTTTTCACATCAAATCAATATTATTAATTTCAAATAAATTACTTATAAGATAGTATTGAAATAAATATTTATTAGAATTCAATAAATTTTTTTTCAGTGTATGTACGTACATTATATAGTTAAAATTAATCAAATGTATTTTATATTTTATTGTGATAGATATTAATATTTTTTATAAATATTAATCAGAGAAATTTTTATTGTGTTTATTTTATCAGAGCCTTATATATTTTACTTCTTAATTATTTTTATTTTTATATGATTTTTACTGTTATCATAATTATCAGGGTAAATTCTAAGAAAATTCTTTCCAAAAAAATTTAAATTAAAATACAAATTAAATTAAAAATAATTATTTAAATAAAATTTAAATTAAAATACAAATTAAAATAAAAATTATTATTAAAATAAAATTTAAATAAAAAATTAAAATTAAAAAAAAAATTTAAACAAAATTTAAAAATTTTCTTTTCTCTCCATCTTGCATCAATTCTTTGATTTTTCGACGACAACTGTCATACACGTTCAAATGATATGCATGCGATGTGCGTACTATTTACGTGCGCGTGATTCGTAAGAGGCGTTTCTGCTCGTTCGGGTGCACTTTCCTCTCAGCGCGTGGCTATAAGAGAGACGATATATTTTCACCTTACGTAAAACCGGCACATCGGCCCGGCCCGTGGCTCGTTTCCACGACGCGAACCCGAGACTTTCCCCGATTCCGGATCGCATGCGATATGCAAGCATATTGATGAGAGACGA